GAAAGTAAAAGTACTGCCATATATGGTTTTGAGTCTACGACTGGTACCAATTTTTCACTCTGTAGCCTTGTAATTTTGAACCCAACCCAGAAGTCAAGGATATTCCTGAAGATTTGCTTTTGTGGATGACTTTTTGTTATAGAACTAATTCGCATTCGCTTTACTTGGAGAGGAAAACCTCCCACAGTTAGCCTGACTGCGAGAAGACTCTAACCCTTGATACATTTACAATTGAGGATATTTTTCATCAGCACTGTGGTCGGTGTGAGCCGAGTGCGTCATTCACATCTACCAGCCATCACGGGGATTCTAATCCGCTTCTCCTCAGTGGGAGGCGAGCGCTCTATCCCATTGGCCACCATGGCTAAGTATGCCTTAAGTGTAAATGTAAATTAAGAATTTTTATAGTGAAAAAGTTTTGAAAATTATGTATAAAATTAGTGCGCAAAAAGCTTCAAACAAGTGAATAACTATGGTTCAAATAAAAGATTTTATTTAAACTACAATATATTTTAGACACAATTGGGTTCCAACTAAATCATATTTTTTTAACAGTTCAGCATAAAGCAATAGTTGTCTACAAAGGATTTGTAACAGAGAACAGTATTATAAACGATGTTTTGTAATCACCGTCTCATATGTATTTTCACAATCTTTTTAGAAGAAGATACTGTCATTGGGTGCTGCAAATTAATAACTAGACGAAGAAAAGTTTTAAAAAATACCACCTGAATTTGAAAAATCACCCTATTGAGGTTAAAAATTTTAAAACATGATTGATTGCCGGATGACACTTGGAAGTATTTTAAATGGTCACTTTTCAACTCCCCTCTGTTTCCTCAGTCAATCAAATAGGTTACGATGTTTATTACCCGCCTTCCTTTAATAGCGTTATTTTTTACCTCTCTGAAATATTTGCTTCCCCAAGTGTGAACATTTCTTTTACTTCATTGTTAATAGAATTTTTAAATGTTTGTTTCAATGTCATAAATTACAGAAGATACTGCACCGAATGAAGTTATAAGTGCTTAGATGGGTAAAAAGTAACCAGATATTTTCTTTTTTCTAAATAGCTATTGTCAGTATTTTGAATATGACTTTCATAGTTCCTTGCCATTCCTTTAATGTTTATTCTTCTCTTAAATGTATTTTTCATTTCATCATTATAAAAGGCAATACACTGTGTTATTATAATATAAAATGTTTATTTAACTTATTATCTAAGTAATCATCTAATGCAGCGTTTTCCAAACTGGGAGGCGCGCCTCCCTAGGGAGTCGCGGACTAGTCTAAAGGGAGCCGCCAAAATTAGTCACAGTGAACAATTTTCCAAATTACTGCTAAAGTTTTTGATGTAAAAAATCAGAGAATAAATGAAAAAATACCATCGTGCTTTATCGCGCATAGTTCAACTAAACGTTTCGTAACTTAGCATCCATATACCTAGACCCCGGCAAATCTTTTGAACCAAGGCCGTCGTTAATTTGGCGCCACTCGATCGACACAACTCAACAAAAGCCAGATGCGCGCGCACTAACGCCACTGGATGCCAAACATCCAGAAAAGATCGACGCACGTTCAGCTCACCAATTTGTTTCGTGTCACAGCTAATATTTAATTGGTTCAGCAGTGTTAGGTTGTGTTTCTATAGTTATTGACGTGATTGCCCACTGGTCATAATAGTAAGTAATTCAATAGTTTTATTTTTTTAGAATAATATAATATTATTCCAAATATTTCCAGACAAATGGATAAGTTTTTGATAGGATATAAGCGAAAATCCACTAATAATGAACATTCTGATGTTGGCACAAGTAGTGGGAATACAAGCCACAAGGAACAGGAAGAAAGAACTCCCAAAACAAGGAAAGGCGACTTATCTTATTTATCGTTCGGATTTACTAATATTATTAACGATAATGTGGAAAAACCAATGTGTTTCTTGTGTTCAATAGTTTTGGCTGCTGATAGCATGAGACCCGGCCAATTGAAACGGCACCTTGAAACTATTCATTCTGAATACGTTGGTAAGCCCCATTTTTTCAAAGAAAATTGGATGAGTTATCTAAAAACAAGCAAAAATTTTTAAAAAAATGTTCATATTCCATCAAATGCATTACTAGCATCATACCTAGTGTCGTACAGAATCGCGCAATGTAAAAAATCCCACACAATGGCAGAAAACTTAGTTTTGCCAGCAGCTATTGATATGGTCAAAACAATGTTTGGCCAATCTTATGCGAATCAGCTGCGACAAATACCGGTTGCTGATATTACAATTGGCAGAAGAATTGATGATATATCTGAAGATCTTTGTGACCAATTAGTTTCTCGAATGCGTTTTTCAAAATTCGCCGCACAAGAAGATGAAGCTACTGATGTAGCTAAAGACGCACATTTAATTGCATATGTTCGATATGTTGACGATACCAATATAACTGAAGATATTTTACAAACCAATTCCTGACAGAGCCACATCCAA